CCGCTTCTGGTGTCGGCCACGCCCGAGTTCTGCATGAGCTTCGAGACGAACACGGTGGCCAATGGTCGCTGCCGCAATCCCTACGATCTGACACGCAGCTCCGGCGGTTCGTCCGGCGGCGAGGGCGCATTGAATGGCGCCGGCGCCTCCCTGTTTGGCATTGGCTCTGACATTGCCGGTTCCATCCGGCTGCCGGCCATGTTCTGCGGCGTCTTCGGCCACAAGCCGACGGGCGGACTCACCTCGATAAAGGGCCACTTCCCCTACTCGCTGGTCGACGAGAACTTGCCCAATTATCTGCAGTTGGGACCCATCACACGCTTCGCGCGCGACATGCCGCTGCTGCTCGAGGTCATGGCCGGCGACAACAAACACAAGCTGAAGATGAATGAGCCGGTGCCGCTCAACGAACTCAAAGTAGGCTATGAACATGCTCTCAATTATGAATACTCTGTTTACTGCAGGCACACGGGTATATTGGTTTGGGTGGTGGACTAGGAACTGAAACTCAGGAAACCAAATTTGGATAAGAAAATATGTATACTCTGTTCGTAAGACTTATAGGGGTATATTAGGTTTGTGTATGGCATTTTAATACTCTGTGTCTATAAGGCATAATAACATTTGGTTGAGGCAAAGCTTTGATGATAAAGAGTGTATTAGTTTTCCATTACTTTATCTTCATGTGTGGCCTCCTAGTACCTTACCCAAACCAAGACAAGTTTAGCTATAATAATGCTTCAAATTGACAAGAGAGGGCGCTTTTATTTGTAAGATTCAAAAATGTGTCGTTTGAAATTTTTAGAATTCTAGACAACTCTTTTAGCCACATGAACAGAGTATATTATACAGTCAGCTACGTCTGGCTGTACTATATTTAACTATTCCATTCCATAGATCTACTACTCGTATGGATATCCGGGCTTAAACGGCTTAACCCATCCGTATGTGGCCGATGACATCAAATTAACCATTGTGCGTGCTCTGACATGCTTGGGCAAGGCGGGCATTGAGTCCACACAGGTTGGTCCAACTTGTCATGAAATACTTAATAATGCCTTCTCATCTCTCTCTATCTGCCTAACTCCCTCTCTCAGCTCGATCTCAGTTTTCTGGACAACATTTTTGAGCTGGTTATTGTGGCGCTGGTCGATCTGAAGGGTCTGCCCAGCATTATCACTCAGCAAGCCGGTCGTCCGCCCAATATGAGACTCCTGGTCTTGGAGATGTTTAACAGCATCATTGGCCATTCACTGTTCACCAAGGAGGCGCTGTTTCTGGAGCTGATGCAGAGGCTGAATGGTATGATATCCACCAATAAAATGCAACAGTACCGTGATGAGGTAGCCAGGATCAAAACATATCTAACGGTAAAGTGCACTAGATCCTATCCTTTATAAATTATACTCTAGAATGGGCATTTCTTTTTCATAGGAATTGCTGGGAGATCGCGGAGTTCTGTTTCTGCCCACCTTCCACTCGACTGCTCTGAACTTTCATACCTCCTTGTTCAATATCACGGGCATCGATAGTCTGTTGTTGTTCAATGTGTTGGGCTTCCCGGCCACACACATTCCCATGGGCCTGAGTTTGCCTGGCATGCCCGTCGGGTTTCAGGTGATAGCGGCGCCGTATCAGGACAAACTTTGCCTGCAAATCGCAGCCGAATTGGAGGCAGCTTTCCTTGGCTGGACGCCGCCGGTGCTGCATCAGATTGCCGTTCCGGACACCCCAGTGCTCAATTTCTAGACAAATAGCAGAATGGTTAGTTAAGGTTACGGTTCAGTTGATATTCGCAATAAAAACAAAAAGAGTTTTATTCAAATAATAACGACTGGGTATGTGTGTAAGCGATGGCATATGTGTGTTAGTAAAGCTTCGCTTAAATCTCTCACTTCCATCCAGCAAACGCGCGCACACCAATCAATTTCAGTGCTTTGCTCTCTCTCTTCATTTTGACTCTCACTCTCTGCCTGATTGACGAATGAACACTTGAACACTTGTGTGTGTGTATCAATATCACTTAACGCCAGTGCTGAGAATCTGGCTATATTCCCGTCAGCTCATTTGTTTATAAACAGAATTGTGGAGGAAATTATAGACACATTGAATTTGTTAATAATCATTTTTACAGCTTACAAAAATATCAATATCAGAGAAATGCCTTGAGAGTTCTTTAGCTCTTTCTACTAGCTATCTGGCCTTGAAGACAACATTGCATTCAACTGCGTGTGGACTTTTACTAGCATGTAGTATACACATATCGAACGTTCACTCTCTTCACAACTGTCTCTCTCATTCTCTCACTTGCACTATGTAAACAAGATTTTATAATCCATTTATTTGCGCTCATTTAGTCAGTGTGCAGCCGGCGTTGGAACGAGGGAGTTGAGTTTTCATTTCTCTTCTTTTGCGTCATGGAATTAATACCGCGATTACTGTTAATATTTGTAAAATTCGTTGCTATTTTTGCGAGCACTCTGCAAAGTGCGTATATCTGGGCATGCGGACGTCGAATTAGGCCCTATGGTCTGCCAGCCAACATAAATCCGCTGCTGGCGCTTAGTATTCAGGAGCTGCGCACACGTCTCTGCCGGCGGCAGGTAACTGGACAAGAAGCGGAAGAACAAACAGTTATCTTAGTGAAAGCTTTTATGCCCTTTGCCCAATTGGCTTTAAATCTTCGTTTTTGTATATTTCAATTGTTTTTTAGACTTTAAACATTATCTTTTAGATAACCGCAGTGGATTTGGTAGACGCCTATATAGATCGCATTAAGCTGGTGAACAGTCGCCTGAATGCGGTCGTATCGGAGCGCTTTGCGCAGGCGCTGCGGGACGCCGCCAATGCGGATGAGCGCATAGCTGCAGCGGGCGAGGATGTGGCACAGCTGTTTGAGAAACAACCGTTGCTGGGTTTGCCCGTCACCGTGAAGGAGTCCTGCGCCCTGGCCAACATGTCCTTCACCGTGGGCAGTCTGGCCAGGAATGAGCACAAGGCAACAGCCGATGGCGTTGTGGTTGCCCGGATTCGCGCTGCTGGAGCGATTCCTTTGCTGGTCTCAGCCACACCCGAGTACTGCTATTCGACGGATACGGATACGTTACTCAATGGACGCTGTGTGAATCCTTTCGATTTCGAGCGCACGCCAGGTGGCAGCTCAGGCGGTGAGGTGAGAGTACAGTAAAGACTACCTAAAGAGGATTATTGGATTGATATAGAGATAATGTGACCAATCATGTAATCCTTTTCAGGGCGCTCTGATTGGAGCTGGCGCCTCGCTCTTTGGCATCGGCTCTGACATCGGTGGCTCCATACGCATTCCCAGTCTCTTTTGCGGCATCTTTGGCCACAAGCCTACCGGGGGCGTGGTCACACCGGCAGGTCACTTTCCCGACTCGAGCGATGCGGATTTCCAGCAGTATTTGGTGGTGGGTCCGATGTCCCGCTTTGCCGTCGATCTACCCCAGCTGCTGGAGCTGATGGCCGGCGAGCAGGCGGTGCAGCTGCGTCTACATGAGCCGCTCCAGCTGAATCAGTTGCAGGTGCACTACGCCTTGGGCTTTCAGGGTCTCAACGGTTGGATGCATCAGCAAGTGGAGCCGGAAATTAAAGCATCCATACTCAAGGCTGTGGAACATCTGCAGAAACAGGAAATTCCTGTGCACCAAGCGAAGCTGTCAGGATTCGACAATTCCCTGGAGATTGCACTCGGCGGCATCGCTCGTTTGAGACAAATGCCGTTTGTACTGGACGCCGGACCCGCAGCGGGAGCTGAGAGCAAAGTGCGGGAGACTCTGAAACAGCTAGTTCAAAGTCTTTATGGCAAATCTTGTAACACTACGAATGCCTTGATCTTTGATCTGATGCGTCGCTGCAATGCGTTCATGTCAGTCCAAAAGCTAGAGAAATATCACCGGGAGGCACTGGCGCTCACTCGAGAGTTGACTGTACGTACTGCCACCTAACCCCTGCCACCTACATCTATTAACCTTCTTTACCTGTAATCCTTCAGCAACTTCTGGGCGTAAACGGCGTCCTGCTCTTTCCCACAATGCATGCTCCGGCTCCGAAGCATGGCTGGACACCGTTGCAGCTGTGGGGTGTGGACTATACGCTGCTCTTCAATGTACTGGGTCTGCCGGCAACGCATGTGCCAATGGGACTGAATGCAAAGGGTTTGCCCATTGGATTTTCGGTAATTGCGGCTCCGTATCAGGATCGTCTATGCCTGCGTGTAGCTGTGGAACTGGAGCGCGCCTTTGGCGGCTGGCAGTCACTATATGCCAAGAAAACTTAGCCAAATCGCGAAATGATTGTCAATTTAAAGGTTCATTAAATCTAAATTTTCACAACGGAAATTTTCAAAACTTTTTATTCAAATCTTTGCTTGCGCCATCTATCGTAATTAACAAGTAACAAAACATACAAAAAGAAAAACACCCTAAAAAATATTCTTTTGCGAGACACTTTGAACTTCAAAGTTTGAGCTAACAAAAATACTTTTAATACTAAAAATACCAAGTGTCTCTAAGGCATTCAAATAATTAGTATACGTTAACTTCAAATCGCAATTCCCGACATTTTAAACAAAATTACCAATTTCCACAATTCAAAAAATGATCAAAACAAATTAATACAAATTAAATATTATATCTTTCAAATGACAAAATGGATTGAAATAATATTTTCAATTCAAATACATGAGAATAGTTCTAGTCAAATTAATTTTTGTGTAATATTTACGTTTTCCATAACAACTTATATGATAGCTCTATTTCCCGCCTTTTGAACGCATATGTGGCCATTTTTAGTATATTTCAACAAGATTTTTGGTATTTTGTCTTTTGCGTCAACCAACAGATGTTATGACGCTCTCACTCACTCTCTCGCTTCCACACGCACCATGCACCAGCTATTTCAGTATAGCTGTATTGGTGAACTCGCGTGTGTTTCGTTTTCGTTTCGTGTGTGTGTTTCGTATCAGCGTTACTTCTGTCGGGGTTCACTTCGTTTGTTGTCATAGCGCGAGAGACTTTCGAGTAGAACGGACGTCGATTTGTATACGCGAGCTCAAAAGAAAAAAGTGGACAATATTGTTGGAAAGATATATTCCCCATAACAAATATAATACACAGACCATAGATAGCATGGGAACTTAGCGGATTTACCTACTAAATACGTGTCGCAGTGATACGAAACTATTGATAGAAAATCGAGAGAGATCAGAAACGTGATCTTGTAGCGCAGTGTATCACATAACCAATCAAGCTGGTCCAGAATTATTGGCATTGCGCGTAATCGTCACTTAAACAGAAATAGAAACGAGAACGTACAACATTTTGTACAACAATTAAATAAATGTGCGCGTGTTCAAAATTTTGAAAACGCAACAACAAGTGGAAATACAACAACAACAACAGCAGCAGCAACAACAAGAAGAACGGGAACGGGAAGTGCTCGCTCAACAAGTGTTACGAATAAGCACACTGGGATTATCTAATAAACCAATAATATACATAAGACTCATACCCGTACCTCCCCAAAATATAATAATAAAAGAGATTATATACCAAATAGGCAGCATAAATATTAAATTTAAACCAGTCAAGTGTTTGAGAGCTCTGTGTGTGTGCTCTTCTGTATATGTGTGTGTGTGAAACGAGCAACAGCAGCTACAACTAAACAACACAGCAACGACAACAACAACAAGAGCAGCAGCAACAGTACGGCAACGTCAACAACACGCAATTGCTGTGAGCGCGACGGAGACAGCAACAGCGTGAGTCATAAAAGTGAAATAAAAATGCGGATAAAGAGAGAAGCGCCGTGTCTACTGTTATTTATGCCATTACCAAACAATAACAACAACAACAACAATCGCATTGGCGGTAAGTAAGAAAACAAAATCTGAGAATAAATATTTAATTCATATTAGCTAGAATTACTCACTCAAGTATTTTGAGATTAAAAACGAGGCAATTTTCCCGCTTGGAATGCCTGCTGTTTACTTTATAAACTTTGCGCGCTCAAGCGCAGCCCGCTAATAGGGCAGAGGGTTGAGAGCGGGGCTCATAGCACACACGTAAGCAGCAGTAGTAAGCAGTGCTGGTCGGGTATGCTTTTTTCCCGTCAAATTTAGCTTTTTTTTTAAGCGGCAGCCAGCGGAAATTGCGGCTTGTTTGCTGCAAACCCGTCATCATCATCGTAAAAGTATCATTTTATTGGAGCCAATTAATGGTTTTAGTAAATTATCAATTCTTATCGAGGTCGAAATGCTTCGCTTCCGCTTGTTTGTTCGCCAAATATTCGCCGCTTGAACTAGCGTTATTTTATACATAATGAAAAGGCAGCAGCACTATTGTTTAATGTAAGCGTCGTCAACGTTTGTCTGCCGTGCGGGCCGACGCCTGCCCCTGCGCGCCCTTCGCGCACATTCGCCAGCGTTTTTAACGATTCAGACTCGAAGTCAGAAGAGGCAGAGCGTCGGTTTCTACTTACTTCATACGTGACTCACATTCGCGTGTCTTTCAGAAATAAAAGCAAACGAAAAAAGAAGCTTTTTTTTTGGTTCGTTGAGAAAAAAATGTAAAGCAAAGCAGGTTTTTGCGACAGACTGGCAACTCTGGCAACGAAACCCGCTTTGAAACGACCTTTCGAGTACGAATTCGTTGGCACAGCAACAGCAACAACAAGAAGAAAAAGCAACAGCCTCTGTCGGCAGCGGGCAGCAACAACTCTAAAACTTGGCGAAGTTTCAGTACACACACACATACATGCAAGTGTAAATACTTATGTATGTATGTGTGTATATGTTTGCATGTACAGATGTACATATGTATGTTCGGTGCATTGGCATGCGATTTGACTTGTTTCTGTTAGCCACAACAACAACAGGCAGCACAACATTTCCTGCCGCGAGTGAAAACTTTATACACATATATAAAATGTTTTTTTGTTGGTTTTTGGCTTTTGAGGCTTTGAGGTCGCTCGAAACTGATAAGCGAAGTTTCAGCTCTACAAATTGTTGCTTGCTTGTGTTTTATTATTATTATTATTATTATTTTTGTGCCTTGCTCAGCATGAAAGCTACAACCACTAGAAACTGTTTATGCGGCAGCCGCTGTGACTGATAAGGTTTCTACTCCGCACACACACAGCCATATGCTACACATACATATGTATTTACGTATGCATGTGATCGCCTAAGCCTCTGCCATTCATTCTAATGATAAGCGCTTTCCAAGCTCCGTGTGCCCTTTTTCTCTTGTCTCGTGTAAAGCTTTGCATTTTGGGCCTCGCTTTGGTTACGTTTTCGCCTCGCTCTGCCTTGTGCGCTAATCAAGCTGCGTGCCGAAATAAATGTCTTACGTCAGTTTGTCAAACAGCAGCAGCGAATATTTGCGGTTTTTGCTGTTGTTGTTGTATATTTGATTTGAATTGTATGTATGTACGGATGTATGTATGTCTTAATGTATTCATGTGAGTCGGCGCGACAAGTTTTTAGGTATTGGTTCAGATCGAGAGAGCTGACGTCATTTGATCACAACCAAGCGAAACGAACAAAAATTCAATTCCAATCAAAGAAATCGATTTTTAATCAATTTTTCTGTATTGCAGCTAATCACAAGGACTATCCCAACAACAAGCGTTCCAGGGAAAATCTGGCATGTGACGAACAACAGCTGACGGCGACGTCAACGACGGCAGCAATGAACGCTGGCAGCAATGGCGGCCGAACGCCGCCGCTCATGCGCAGCTGTTCCAGTCCGGCGGTTTACGGTAAGTAAACTTGTAACTGTAATTGTAACCAAATAACTGTAATTAAATACACATGTACGTGGAATAGGCAAGTGTTGAGCACTTGCAAAAATGAACCAGTTCGCATTGCAATCGCAATTCTACTTCCAGTTACAGCTATCTATTTTCGTTGCACATTTATCAGCTGTCAAATCTGTTATCTGCATATTTGCATGTACGCTGTTTGTGCTTTTCATTGCATTTCATTTCCTCATCAGAGACAGCCTAGCTAAGAGAGACCTTCTCCAACACTACACACTTGATTAGCTTTCGCTCTTTGCTGCAATCTACCTACCTCTCTTCCTTTCTCGCTCACACACATGCTCGCTCGTTCACAAACGCGCTGTGTAAAGCTCTGCTTAACATTATAAATAAACAATGTTGTTTTTGTTTTAGCACGTGCTGCCATGATAAACATGATGCCATTGGTGCTCTCGTTCAGATTGTTTCATTCTTTTCGCACGTTATGAAATATACAACATATGCACCACAAGCAGCAAAACATGCACAGCAACAAAAACAATAATAATAATAATTGCACTTGACAAAAGCAAAAACAAACAAACAGACAGTGAAAGAAAAGAAAAACTACAAATTAAGATAGTAGCGCGAAATGTTCAATGTCGAACTTTTGGCAGCTGTATTGCCGAATGTAACAAATTACTCATTACGTTACGCTATTCGCTGGCTGAGCTTTTGCGTGAAGTGCAAAGTGTACACAAAGCCCATGAGCTCAACCCTAAATCTTATTGCTGAATGTGTAAGCTAGAAGGAGTGAGTGGGAGAGATGGTGGGAGGGAGAGGACCGCTCCTGTGTTTTGCTGTCACTGGTCAGCCATGTGATCGCGCTGTGATGCAAATAGATTTCAATGTCGCGCAGTTTTTATGACAGCGCTGAGATTTCTTGTTGCCATCTCGGTCTGGCCGCTACACGTTTTCGAGAGCTTTTCACGCACAAGTCACTCCAATGCATTTTGTCATTCTCGATTCCTGTTTACGTCACTGAGCCTATCGCATTTGAGTCATAATTCGTACGTTTTACTGTTGCTGTTGCTGTAATTTAATTGCCTATACTTAATAGTGTTTGTTTTCGCACTTACTGTTTAATATGTTCATTATTATCAGTAGATAGCGTAAATACCCCGCATTTCATATTATGACAAATCACATTTTTTTGGGGTCGCTTTCCTGCGTATTAATGTGTGTGCCTGTGTGGGCCTTACCCTCAAGGTGTATGACTAATGCAATTGATTTCCGTGTCACAATGTGACCCACAAAACGTAATTACAAATACTAAATGCAAGCATGTGTGTGTGTATGTGCATGGGCCCAAAACATTGGGCCAGTTGTTGCCTTGGCTGTCAATTAACACGCGAACGACAGAAATAATCGATGAATTGGAAACAGCCCGCAGCATAATGCGCAGCCAACTAAGCATAGGCCCACAATAGATACATAGATAGATAGATACACAGATACAAAGATAGATGAACTGAACGATTGTGCGCCTCATTGAAAGTGCTACGAACCCAAAGAAAAAAAAAATAGAGAAAAAACGACGCAAAATATTGTGAAGCGACCGCAAACGCGCGGGGAGCTCAAATGGGTAGAGGGCAGCACCTCCAACAACCCAATCCAATCACCCATCCAACCACCCCCGCACTCGGCAACCACCCACCCAGCCTAGCCGAGCCACCACCCCTGGCCGCTTGGCCCGCAGACGCCCACAGCAAATGCCAATAAAACTAAACTGTGTGCGATTGCTCGAATGACTCATGCAACAACAAACGAAGCGAAGGCGCAGCAACAACAAATATAAACAACAATTTGTTGTACGAAATTTAGACGCTGTTGTAAACACACACATACAAATAGACAGACACACACACAGACAATTGCACACAACAATAGATACACACAGCGCTGATCATCAACATCATTTGTGGCAACGGCTCTTTTGTTGCATGACATCGCAATTGGCAGACCCCAAAGAAAGAGCTAGAGATACTACACTGAAAAAAATGAGAAAAAAACTAGGCATTGTAGCAATTTTATGAAAAACTTGAAAAGCTTTCCAATCTACAGTTTTAATTTTTTCCATTATTTGAGCAGGTTTGAAATTATTTTTAAGCAAACTTACAAACTTAGTATTATCAAAAAAATTCAGATTTCCAATTCTGTGCAGCTTGAAAAAAAAATTTTTAAATCTCCAACTTAAATAAACTATGAAAACTCTTTGATTTAAGAGCAAAGTTCTATGGAATAATATTTAAAGTACAAGTTCAAAGAATCAAAGTAAATTCAAAGAACTTTTTTAATCATGAATAAATATTTAAAAAAAATCAAAATATCAAATTCTAAGAAGTTAAACATTATTTTGAAATGAAGAAAGTTCTATTTAAATTAAAAACTGTTTGATTTGATAAGAATAGATAAGATTTCGTATATATACATTTTTTGTGTAAATCTTTAGAGATAAAGAAACTATACAATAAGTCCATAGGGATTTTCATTAAATCTAGACCTAGTTAAAGAGTTTTTCCACCACCATCGAAATTTTGCATATATCTAATCAATAAATTGATCGATTTATTTTGCAGATATCGAAACACATCCCGCTTCGCCAGTATTCCCACATCTGCTGCTGGGCAATGGCCGGGATGCGGACGATCCCAGCAGCGTGGGCGCCAATTGTGTGTTGAATGTTACCTGCCAAAGTCCCAGCGAGAGTCATCTGCAGGGTCTGAAGTATATGCAAATACCTGCCAGCGATACGCCCCATCAAAATATTAAACAATATTTTCAGGAGGCATTCGATTTCATAGGTAAGTGTTGCCAATAATCGATAATCGATAAGCTCACGTAAAACGTGACTGGCCAAAAAAGGGCATTAGGTGTCGGGAAAGGGGAAGTAGCAGGGCCAGGGGCAGCTGTTGTCAGATTTGCGTAACGGAAAATTCATTTGCCTTTGTTTTTTGTATTTTCGTAATTTTTTTTCTTTCTGCTGCCATAAGCAGTTTTTTTTTTCTTTCTTTTAATTTCTCTCTTGTTTTCAAGGCATATGGAAGAAGAAGCGCGTTTATTTAGTTAATTTTAAGTGTAATACGTATGTCTACACACATATATACACATGTATATATGTATTTGAATGTTCCGTCTGTGCTATAGTATCTATAGCCGTGGAATATTTTGCTGACGTCAATCGCATTTTTCCATTTTCGTTTTTCTCCCAACAAAAGTTCTTCTACATTTATAATAATTTTTTTTTTTTTTTTTAATTTTAATTTATTTATCTTTTTGTTCTTGTTTTTGTAGAACTAGTCTAAGTATTAAGCGGCACGTGGGCGCACGAGGTTAGCATTGTTTGTTTTTTATATGTATATATATTTTTTTTTTGCTTATAAATATTTCATTTGAAAACAATTGACAAATGTGTTTTGGGTCGACTTAACGTAGATCGCGTGCGGCTAATTTAGAAATGTAATAAAATATTTTGACACTTGTTCTTGAAGATTATAAATAAGTTGAAACGATATAGAAATATAAAAATAAACTATAGACAATTAGGTATATTGAAAATTATTGAATCATCAAGTTGTATTTTAGGAAAATATTTTCAGCACAAGAAAATAGAAAAATGTAGCTATATATCATATTAAACTTAAAGTTTTGATGAAAGTTAAAAGCGTATCTGGGCTTATAAATAAATATTTGATAAAATTAAACAAAAAATTGTATGAAAATTAAAATTTCAAGCAAATGAAACAAAGTCCATATGAAACTTACTGGATTTTATTTACAAATACAAAAAATTTCATAGCGCATGATACCTTTAAAAATAATTTTTCAAAATTTGTCTTGAAAAAAATTTTTTTTTTTTAAATTTTCATTTCATATTTTAAAGTATAAAAGCATATGAAACCAAATTCATATTTTTAAGCAGCACTTCCTGAGCATAGATATACCCCATTGAAAGTGCGTAGGGTATACACAACAATTTGTCTGCCTGGCTTCAGCCTAACTGTTGGAAGGGTCAGCAATTCCCGCCTACTTCCCATATCCTCTGAGCGCCTGCCAGCTCCTACGCTTTCCACGGCATTCGTCGGCAAAGCGACGTCATTGTTGTTGTTGTTGTTGTTGTTGTTGTTGTTGTTGTTGCTGTTGTTGCGTGTTGGCGTTGGCAGACAGCATGGCGGCTGCGACGACGTTGCCGTCGTCATTGTTTGTCGTCGTTGTTGCGACTCGGCTGTGACTACGACTTCGACTTTGGCTTCGATGTCGACCGCGGCCACGACGTCGACGGCGTCGGCGACTGTGCTGCTCCTGTGTTTTGGTTTTGTTTGCTCTTTGCATAATGGTCGATGACGCTGTCGTCCAGCTCAGCGTTCCACATTTACGCCATTACGCATAAATCTCTATTTAGGCGTGCGTGTGTGTGTGTGTGTGAATGGAAATTTTATGCATATTAGCCGTAGCTGTGTCGCTGTCGAGCGACACAACCGCAAACGTCCTTTCTGATAAGGGTTGTCACCCTGCCCGAGTGCCCTCACCCTTGGCTGTGCTTCTTCTAGCTGCCGCTACTGTTGTTGGTGTACATGTTTTTTGCCGCCACTGTAGACATGCCGCATGACTCATCGTTCGTTTACATGCAATGTGGAACACACACACACTGAGATATATATATATTTACCGGGGCACACTCCTTGTAGCATTCAGCCATCCGCATCGATTTTCTCGTCTTATTGTTGCTATTTATTGCCGCCAGCGCCGCCGACGCTGCCAACGGCACTTCACCCCCGCCAGCTGTGGCTGTCGCTGCCCGCTGCGCTGCTTGGTCGCTGCTTCTGCTTTTTGGCATATGTTCTATTTTTAAGCGCACGTCGCTCAGGACGACGACGTCGACGTTGTTCGATTGCTGTGGCTGTTATTATCCGTCGTCGTCGTTTAGTTCCTGTTTATGAGTCATCGCTTCTTGCTGCTGCTTTTGTTGTTGTTGTTGCATTATCCTTGATGCGTGGCCTCGACAATGCGCTGACGTTGATGTCACAGCTGGCTGGCGTCTTGATTGCTGCTGCCACTGCCGCTGTTGCTGTCAGGTGCGTGTGCAGCAACAGCTGTTAATTTCGCTTGATCATCTTCCATACGCATTTGTCTGGCGGTTTCAGGAAGAATCACCCAACACCCACGCACTACCCCAACTCCTTTGCTGCCCAGCTCTCTCCAAAGCTAAAAACATGTTCAAGTGTGCATTGTATTTGTAACTGTTCTCTGTGCAGCGCTCTCACACACCAAGTTCTCGTGCTCTCACCACTCTCTCTCTCTCACTCGCTCACGCGCTTGCTGTTTGCTGCCAAAACACATTAGTACTCGGGCACGAAATAAAAGAAGAAAAAAAATATATTGTGAACGAGTGCTATGAGTCATGATTTGCCTCAGCCATTGCCACCATACCTCCCTCCCTCCCATTCCGTATCGTGCCGTCCCGTTCGTCCGGCTGCTAATGCCACTGGCACTGCCTGCCTGCCTGCCTTTTGCGCATTCGTTTTGTGTCATTGTTGTTGGGTCCGTCGTCACCTTATGCTTATTATTATTATTACTCTTATGATTGTCTGTATTTCTTATACTACTTATGATTTCTCATTGTTGCTGTTGCTGTTGCTGCTGCTGCTGCTGCTGCGTTTCATTCATTCATCATAATATAACAGCACTTTGTGTTGTGGCCATGCGTGTGTGAGCGTGCGAGCGAGATGGGGGCAAGTACCGCTAAGTGTTGCTTGAAAGCTACGTCTCATTACGAGTGAACTGTCGTGTGTTGCTCATGTCTCATTATGCTTGGACTCGACTTTTGTCATTAACACTAGTTGAGCATAAATAGGTAAATGAGCTTTGCAGCACTGCGGCCCCACTTGGCCTAGAAACCAATCAAGCCCCGCAAACGACCGTTTGACACACGATAAGCAGGCCCGAAAGGCCCAACCAATCAATTTTCGAAAGTAACGCCAGCCTGTCTGATTAGACTGTACCTTAATAACACTGACTGTACACGGTGGGTACAGTCGAGGCACGCTAATTGGGTACACTCTGGTGGCACAGGTGATGGGCATGAAAATTCAGTGTAGTGAAATTTGAAAACAAAAATTATAGAATTTTATGAATATTTCAAGGAATTTAGAATTTCATACAAATTTCTTATAAAATATTTTTAAGACGAAAGAAAAATTTCATGCATAGTTCAAAGAATTATATATAAATTTCTTATCAAATATTTCTGGCACGAAAGAAATTTCTAAAAACTTCGACTTTTCGAGCAGTCATCGTATATGTTTAGCTCTATATACAAATGTATGTTCATAGTCTATATACATATACATATATATTTGTGCAGTTAACTTATCAGAAGTTTACTATCTGGTCGCCAACAGAGGCCTCTTCTGAGGCATGCCGAGGCATTCAAGTTGACGCACAGCTAAATAAACTCGAAACGGAGCCCGAGCCTTTCGTTTACCTTTCCAGATGTATGTATGTAGGTGTATATAAAAATATATCTCTATTTGATATTGGCACACACATACGCAATAACTAGTACTGAAGTTTTGTTTTTTTTATCAGACAGGTCTGACGAGCAAATAGATTAGATAAGAGCGCGAGTCAAGTTTGCATGCACCCCATGAACAGTATGGTATTTGCCGAGAGCTGTGCTAGCGATAGTAATGCCCAATGCTGCTTGCCCAGTAATCCTGCAATCCCTGGGGATCGCTCGAACGCTCCAACGTTCGATAGCCCGATCGTCCGATCGCTAGCCGTCGTATGACTAACGCAACGAGCGGCCTCGAGGCGACATTTTTGTTGGCCCCGTGCACATAATTTCAATATTCGTCAGCAAGCTATTTATAAAATGCAAAAAAAAAAAAAAAAAAAAAAAAAAAAAAGCAAAAATACACACAAATCTCTTTCTGTGTGCAGGAATTTTGAAAATTTTCGAACTGTGCCGAGCGCAAGAAATTTGTGTGAAAACACTTCATCATCCACACTGTATTATTACAAGGAAGAAATACCAAACGCCCCCGACCGATCTCCATGAGACTCGGTCTTACTCAGAGCGAGACAGCGAAAGATAGAGAGGGAGAGAGAAAGATAGAGAGAGGCGCGAGAGATCAGCATTCGAGTTGCTCGCAAAATTCTTGAATTTGTTTATAAAAACTTTTCGCGTATTATGAATCACAATATCACGAGCCGGTACATATATAAATATACATAAGTGTACACCCCTCCGATATTCCCCCCGCTCATTATTAGTGGCCGTGTTTTTGGGTTGAAGGCAATATCAAAGTGCAGGCAGCGCGCAAATCTCTCAAGTCGAACTTGGAACTGCTTTGTTTCCGTATGACTCGTCGTCGTCGTTGTCAAGTTGAAGGTCAGCTGCATATCCATCATATCCATCAGCTGCTTGACCGACTGATGATTCATGGTCCGCATCAATGGAGTGTGTGTCGTTCATCCTAAGGAAGCACCTGCACCGATTGCAGCATGGACTTCGGAACGATTACGATGCGACGCTGGCGCTGGCGTTGCCTAGGCGCAGCTCAATGAGTAAGCGTTACGATTATTTTTGGGCGTGTTTGACTCAGAGTTACTACAGCCGTGACATATATGTACATATACAGATAGATAGAGGGAACGTGAGTTCTTTAAATGACTTAATATAGTATAGATTTAATACATGAATAATTTTACCTCATTAAGCAGCGCTCAGATGTGTTAATATGTGAGCTATTGGGATATGATGGGATGAAATTATTTAACTATTATGTAAGAGTAGCTTAAGGTATTATCAGGCTATCTGTAGCCTAACGGGACACAACTGAAATGTGAGTTCATGTTGCTTAAACTTCTGTAAAATGGTTCTCTGAATATGGCTTAAAATTTTTACTATTAGATTATGACACAGCAGAAAAATTTATGCTAATCTATTACAGATTACTAGAAAATCTTATTTAAAATATATTCTATTAATATATATATCGATATTTATCGATTCTTCAAAAATTTCCTATCATGTATGAAATTTAATAGACAAACAAGTATCGTACCCCCAAACCTTTGATGTCACTCAATAATATTTATGCACTGCCTCTGCCAGTTGCATGCGCAATCAAAATTTGAGCATACCCCATTTTCCTTTGATCGTTTTTAATGTGTACAGGGTATTAACAGCAACTCGAAAGTAATTAAATATTTTAAAACAAACAAACTACTTGTTGCCCGGCGAGACGCAAGCACAGACAAGCAACACACACACACGCACAATCACCTAAACACACACACCTACACATGTGAAGAGTCATATATACACACATGTATATGGACGATATCATGTTGCTTGGCTCTGGCTTTGGTCTGGTGGTTGTTTCACTCTCTTTCGCTTCTGGCCATGACTCACAGGAGTCGGTTGCAAGGTAACCGACTGGCAATCAGTCTGGCTGACCCTTTGCGCCCTGGCTTAATCATCATCAGCAGCAGCAGCCGCGCATCGCCAAAAAGTGAAAATGATATGAGAATGGGAACAATAACATTATTCTCAACGGATAGTCGCGCCGTCTGTTTGGCCCAGTTCTCTGTTCTCTGTTCTCTGTGACGCACCAAAGGCAGAGGCGATCGCATCGGTTGTTGCCTCTGTTGCACTTAATCATCCGACACACGGTCGCCCGGCACTTTTTGGCTACCCAAAGTTGGCATTACGCATCAGCCGCCCCAATTTGGAGTCACGACGTTGACGCCGCGTCGCCGACAGCCCTATGAATGGGATTGCGCTTTAATAGACACGATTCAGAGCCACTCATCGCTGGGCTATGCCGCCAGCTTCGTTTAGTCATAAATGTCGCACCGTAATTGATGATTACTAATACTGGGCCCGGTGGCATAAACAATATGCATATGGTCAGGCTATTGCCAATTACCATCTAAAACGGCTTTTTCTCGATAAAAAAAAATATATATATATGTATATGCCGTTCGACAGACGGTTTCCACAGTCTCCAATCTCCAATTGGTAATTGGCAGGCATTAGAGCGAGTTCCGTTTCATATAAATTGATCTATCAATGACTACGTAACTTCCGTTGAAGGTATGTCTGGGAATGTGGAACTTGGAACATGGAACATGGATCATCTAAAAGGAATGCTCAGCGAGACTTGCAAATTAGATCATTTATATGATGAAATCGTATTGATTTTAGACGTGATTCAAATTGATAACTATATGTATTATATATATTATACTATGTTCCTATATTATTAATTATCGGTACAGCATATTGTTTCATTAGTTCCACAAATTCCGATTTCTATATCTGTCGCAGCAAAAACTTTGTTTATTTATGATATTAGTCAGTGCATTTCTATAATATTGAATGATGCAAGCGCACACAATCAAGGATCTTTCAGTCATATATATACATGTATAAGACCTGATGTCATATACCATTTTATGAACCAACTTAAATAGCGCTAATTGTATTCATTATCTCAAGATTAATCTACACATATTTGCGCGAATGGCAGTTGAAAACAATTTTAGATGCATCATGATCTAAAAAAAAAACCGCAAGTTAAAATCTAAAGTAACTTAGGTTAATCTATTTATTTATTGAGTAGAATATTTATTTATGTATTATCCCTAAATCAAGTAAAATTATATCGATTATTGTATACCTTACTATATATTAGTAATTCATTTCTTATGCTTCAAAAGTATAGAGTTTTGCGATGATCAAGTGCATTTCAAAGTTCCGCTTGGGCATTTCCTTACTATTTTAACGTTCTTCTTCTTCTCCTCAGCCATTCATGCTCAACTGGGCTTTGAACCCGGATTTTGATTATTCATTGATTTAGTCGCTTCTCCAAGAGCTCTTTATAGATTTTTATCATAAACATTTCTATAATTATCTTAGACATTTCATCATTATTTTATCATTATTCTCCTTGCTCTCTCTAGTTCTGTAATAATTGTATTCAATTGATAGCTAACTAGGATTTAAACCAATTCTGCGATTTGTCTACATTTCCTCGAATATTTCATTGAGTCGCTTGGGTGTTTCATAATTATTTTAAAATTCTGGTTTATCTATGGATTTGTAATATCCTTATCGATTGGTGCCTGGCTTCTTCTATTAGTCAACTGTGATTTATGATTTCAGAGTTCCGCTTAAAGTGATCTCACTGAAAATACTTACATATACCAATATGCGTACATATATATTTATATAGCTAGCAAGCGCTGAGAAAGAACATCAAGTTGTTTGGCAAGTTCTTCCCCTCTTGGCGGCTTTTTAGCCTAGTCTAAGATGGCCAAGTCACTATGGCCCACTGTCTGTTTCAGTACGGCGTCCAATGAGTCACACACACATACACATGGGGCAGGGCGGGCTGGGCGCGTTTATGGCGCGTTTTTAACTGTCTGTGCGACGGGGTCATTAACTAAGAGGATTTATGAGCAGCAGGCGCACGGTGACCAGTTGTCTGCTGACGACAAAAGACCCACACGCACACACACACACACGCATACCCATGTATAGCTGTGATGAGTATGCCTATTTTTAGGCTAGACTATATATAAAGATATATCTATGGACATCATCCTTAACAAAAAATAGACAGCTGAACTGGCTAAGAATTTATATTATTATCATAATGCAATAAAAGCTCTACCAACAAACAGCTGATTAGCAGAGGTGTTAAAATTTCAAACAAATTTTATTTAGCTTAAATTAATTAAATTAACCGTTAAAATAATAAAACCAAAATTTTTAATTCTAAAATTAGCTTTTTGTTCGATTTGAAAATAAAGAATTTTGAGCAAACAATAACAATATTATTTATTAATTATAATTATAATATTATGTTTTGAAAAAAATTTTAAAATTTTAATTTATAAAAATCAATATTAAAATTTGAACTTTTCTACTATTTTAACTTATTTTGCCTCAGCTGTTTGTCCACTCTATTTGCTCACACTTATCGTTATAATTTGTTATTATTTATGACTATTATTTATAATGGGTTTTCCACCTGTGCGGACTCATAATTGCATTATCATCGTTTTTGCCGTTGTTAACTTGTTTTTATGTCATATCGCTCTCAATGCCTGATAAGCATTAACTTGATTTGATTTTTCCTAGCCACACTTCAAAGACATATTGTGTGTATGTGTCTCCCTCTCTGTGTGTGTGTTTGTTTTATACAGTTACTTGTAGTACGTACAGCAACAACAACAGCAACAGCAAATAGTCGGCCGTTTGCTTATCAGCCCAACACTTTGCACTCGTTTCATTGATAAATCGTGGAGTGTGCGTGTTCATGTGTGTGCATGTATGTATGTGTGTTTGCTGTGGTTTGTTTAGTGATAAATTGCCTTTGCTAACCACTCGAATTTTCCAGGCGCAATTCAATAGAGGATTTATACGCAATGTAGTTGCAAAAAATTCTTATCACTGATAACACGCTTATTGACCGCATTGTAAACAGCGGCTGCAAAGGGCTGCCCATTGCCCATAGGTGGCGCCAGCCTGGCGAAGTGTCCGCTGACGAAAACCACGATGACTAATCGAACTGCAAGGCTCGAAATGCTGCTTATCAGTTGTGCCGTGTTTGGAAATCAGACAAGTGTATACAAGCTTATATATACAAATACACAAACAAACGTGTGTGTGTGTGTATCTATATGAGTAATCATTGATTAGCAACTGCAAGGCAATGCTTGCACGCCCGCCCCTCTTTAGAGATTAGATAGCCATAGGCAAGAAAAATGTTGCGTAGGGTGGTTGCTTTTTCAGCACCACCCCAATAGTAATTCATACATACATACATACATACATATAAATGTATAAAGAGTATAAAGCAGAAAAGTAAAGGCTAAACGAAGCTGCGTATTTGCCGCTGCCTGGCCTGGCGTATGTTATCTTGCCCAAAAATAACAACGTAAATTATGAGTTAATGTGCGCGCGCTTGTGTATGTGTGTGTGTGTGTATATATTCACGATTGCTGTGTTTGTCAATAAAGCGTTTGCATGACTCATCCATCCATTGCACAGCAAACAGCACACACACAGAGACACACTCTCATATACGCTAGCGTGAGAGCAATACACGCATACAATTACAATATATTGACAGCGCTGAGCGAGCGCCAATATCAGCAGCAACAACAACATCCACAGCTTAAAAGCCCGCGGCAACACAAAAGTTTCTCCTCACTTTAATACAGGCGCAAGCGAGTGAGCGGAAGAGCATCTATGTGTATATGTGCGTGCGTGTGTGTGTTTGTAGAATGAGAGAGCGCGAGAGCGCGTAAGTTGGCAGCAATTATTTTGCGTTGTCGATAAAATTGTTCGAGCTGCTGCTGAATAATAATTTTGTTGTAACTTTTATTTATTTATTTATTTGTGCATTTGCCGTTACTAATTGGCAATTGTTGGGGCACATCGAGGCGCCTTATCAACTGATAAGCAAATATTATTATTAATATTTTTAATATTACCTTATTAAATTCAATTTTCAACAATTCTCATTTCTCTTCTTCTTTCTGATCCGTTTCTTGCAGAGGATGCACGCAAAACAGGTTCGCGCGTTTTGCTACACTGTCACGCGGGCATCTCGCGCAGCGCCACCATCGCCATTGCGTACGTCATGCGGTACAAGTCGCTGTCGCTGATCGAGGCCTACAAGCTAGTGAAAGTGGCCCGGCCCATCATCTCGCCCAATCTGAACTTCATGGGCCAGTTGCTCGAGCTGGAGCAGAGTCTGCTCAAGAGCGGCGCCCTGGCGCCGCTGCCCACTGTGTCCCCATCCGCATCGCCCGCTGCCAGCAGCCATGCGTCAGCATCTAGTCAGCTCGTGGAAGAGCCCGAGGAGGAGGAGGAGGCCGAGTTACGTCCGATGCCAGTGCCGCGCAAGTCCAAGTCGGACAGCGAGGCCATGGACGAGGATGTCTATGATTATGATGATGTGGACAGTGGCGCCAGCAGCTTTGCCGGCAGCAATTGCTCATCGCGCCTCACCTCTCCGCCCGTCACACCGGACGAGACGCCCTGCACGTCGGCAGCGGCGGCGGCGTCAGCAGCAGCTGTAACTGAACTGGACTCGCCGTGCTCCAATAGCAGCAGCGGCATCTACTCCATTTCAACATCGCAAGAGTTTACACCTGCTGCGCCCGCACCTGTTACACCTGCTGCAACGTCGACGACGGCGACACTGTCGCCCACGCGACCGCTGGCGCTCTTCAAGCGCAATTCGCCGGTGAAGCTGCGGCTCAATCTGGAGCCCAGCTATAACACGCCCAACATACCAAAATCCATATCCTGCATATCCATACACAATGCCAGCCAGCATAGTCCGCTGCCGCGGGAGGCGCCAGCCACGCCCAGCTGCGAGCTGGCGCCCACAATGCCCAATGGCGACAACAACAACAACTTGGTGGCGGCCACGTCGAGTGATTGATGCATCAGACGGAGGCGACGCCACCGACGCCCCAAAGCTGTGAATAAAATAAAACTTATGTGTACAATTAAGTGATGCGAAATTTCGTATTTTATATACTATATACAGAGAGCATGATTGAATGGATTGATTGGTTGATTGACTGATGGATTGATTGATTGATAGCTAGCCTCACTTACTACTCTATGAATTGAGCGTGTATATTTTGTACCTAAAAACTGAGAAAAACGAAAACTTCTGAAGAAGAAATGAGGAAAAAACAATTGATGCATCCAAAAGATTTTGAAGAATGCAAATGGAGAAATATTTAGTCTAATTTGTAGTTTTAAAACATTTGTAATCTAACCTTAGATCACAGAGAACCAGATACAAAATAGATCAACTATATATTTCGTAATGCATCAAACTATATAAATCTTGTGCTGCTATTATAAATTGTTTAAAAACCTCGTAATGTTTAATTTAGTATAATTTATGATCTTAAGCAAATCTTAACTATTCACATAGTAAACAAAAATAATCATATAAAAAACAAAAACAAAAAACAAAAAACAAAAAAACAAAACAAAACAAAAAACAAGAAAATATTATATAATGAACTTTACAAGCGCATTGCAAATATTTCTGCTAACTTGCCCAAAATCCACAAGTCCACAAATCCACGTCCCCAATTACAGAGATGTTTACTATTTCTATACTATATACTATATTATCAAAACTGTTCTAAGTTTTATGCAACTACTGTAACGACCCACACACACACGCATATACATATATATGCATTGTACTCTCAGTCACGCTTTTCAAACCTATAATTGCATGTATGTGTATGTATTGTATATTTAAACTTTTTTCAAGTGAGCGAGCAATTTTGTTTGGTTTTGTGTTTGTGTTTTTCTAGTTTTAATTATTTATATAAAAAACAACAACAAAAGGAAGTAGATGAGAGAGAATGAAAGCGAGAGAATTGTATGCAATTTGAATTATTTCGTTTAGTTTGTAAGCATTTTAAATTAAGGCTCTACACTACACAGAAGTGTAATCCGTAATAGAAAACATAAAAACGTAACCAAAAAAAAAAAAAAAAAAAAAATACCAAACGACTTTTATTTGAATTGAAAATTTGGCGCCTAACTAAAAGTGTTGGCGTTGGAAATAGTGTCGAGACGTTCTCAAATGCAGCCCTGGTTTGTATGTAATCCAACACTGGCAGGCCTGGCTCATGTTCGTTGTGGGCGCTCATTTGATTTGCTTGGTTTTTGGTTTTGTGCATTAATCATATTGCGCTACCGGAAATCTTAGGTGAAGTGTGCATTAATTGTAAGTATATAAATTAAGTATTTACAGCGCATCTGCTAACCATTTTCATTAACCTATATAATTTGTGTGGCACTACGCCAATTGCGTTCTCAATCCACGCGAAATAAACTGCGCCATTTTATCACCAATACCAAAGAAATTTACCGTTTTTTCGCTGAGTCTGCAGTTACTCCAATTGGAAATTTGATCGTTGCCTTCTCTGTAAAATGTCCGAATTAGATTGGGACGACCCAAACTATGTTGAGAAACCAACAGAATACGCTCAATCCACATACAATGAGAATGATGATGATAATTACTCTCGTGGCCGTCGCTCGGGCTATGGCGGCAACAGTAAAAAACGCGACCGAGAGCAGCGTGAGAGCTATGACAGAGATAACGGCAACTCTCGAAGGAACGCGAAGCACGCTTACAGCAAATCACTGAAAATCTCTTCAGATATGGTAGGCCGTGTAATCGGTCGCGGTGGCTCCAATATAACGCGAATCCAACAAGATTTCTCAGTTCGGGTCGATATCGATAAGGGCCGACGTATGGTTACAGTCTCAGGCAGTGAGAAAGTTAACGTTAGAAATGCGTTAGACGAGATAAGCAGGCAGATGCAAAGCGATGGCGGTGGCTATAACCAGACGTCGGAGGGTGGCAGTCATGGCCGATCCTATGGTCAGTCCGACTATGGTCGCTCCAGTGGCCGGGAGCCTGGACGATATGAGGATAGAAGCTCTGGTCGCTCGAACGACAGAAGAGAACGATCGAGCTATAATAGTTATGGCGGAGGACAAAGCATTTATGACTTGGCACCATCCTCAGCAAAGGCAGACGATGGCGACTTGACGGGCACCATAGACTGGGCGGCACTGAACAAGGCCTCAGTAAGATGGTTAAGTATAAAACGTAAAATCCAATTTAAAACTTCACATTTCAACAGGAAGCTGCTCAAGCCGAACGTTGGGCAAAATGTCCACCGTTGACCAAAAATTTCTACAAGGAGTGCCCCGAGGTGGCTAACCTGTCCGAGGCGGAGGTAGCGCAGCTGCGCCTGGAGAACAACAACATCAGCGTTTCGCACGTCTTCGAACCGCAGGAGGGCGAAGTGTTTGCGCCCATACCGAATCCTGTATGGAAGTTCGAGCAATGCTTTGCCGAGTACCCCGATTTGCTGGCCGAAATACAGAAGCAGGGATTTACGAAGCCTTCACCCATACAGTCGCAGGCCTGGCCCATTCTGCTCCAGGGTCACGACATGATTGGCATTGCCCAAACGGGCACAGGAAAGACGCTCGCCTTTCTGCTGCCTGGCATGATCCACACCGAATACCAGAGTACGCCGCGTGGTACACGGGGTGGTGCGAATGTCCTGGTCTTGGCGCCCACGCGAGAACTTGCTCTCCAGATCGAGATGGAGGTGAAGAAGTATTCTTTTCGCAACATGAAAGCGTAAGTGGGAACCCGAAAGTAGATCCCATTTTTATTTTGTTTCTTTTGATTAGCGTTTGCGTCTATGGCGGCGGCAGTCGCAAGATGCAAATTTCGGATGTGGAACGTGGCGCTGAGATAATCATCTGCACGCCTGGACGTTTGAATGATCTGGTACAGGCCGGCGTAATCAATATATCGTCCATTACCTATCTGGTGCTGGACGAAGCCGATCGCATGCTGGACATGGGCTTTGAGCCGCAGATACGCAAGGTGCTGCTGGACATACGGCCGGATAGGCAAACCATCATGACATCGGCCACCTGGCCGCCGGGTGTTCGTCGCCTGGCGCAAAGCTATATGAAAAATCCGATACAGGTGTGCGTAGGCTCACTGGATCTGGCTGCTACGCATTCCGTCAAACAGGTGATTGAGCTGCTGCAGGATGACAAGGATAAGTTCCATGTGCTTCGAAAGTTTGTGGAGAACATGACCAAGTCGGACAAGATCATTGTGTTCTGCGGGCGGAAGGCACGTGCCGACGATCTGTCCAGCGATTTGAGTCTGAGTGGATTTTCCACCCAGTGTATACACGGAAATCGTGAGCAGTGCGATCGGGAGCAGGCCATAGCGGACATTAAGTCGGGCTTGGTGCGCATTCTAATTGCCACTGATGTCGCCTCACGCGGCCTGGACATTGAGGACATATCGTGCGTGTATTTAGTATATTCTAATTGATTTATTTGATAACTTTTTTTGCGCTTTAGGCATGTCATCAATTATGACTTTCCACGCAACATAGAGGAGTATGTGCATCGTGTGGGTCGCACAGGCAGAGCCGGTCGTCGGGGTACATCCATTAGCTTCGTCACACGTGAGGACTGGGCCATGGCCAAAGAGCTGATTGATATATTGGAGGAGGCCCAGCAGGATGTGCCTGAGGAGTTGCGTCGCATGTCCACGCGATTTTCAGATATGAAACAACGTCGAGCAGCTGAAGGAGGCATTGGAGGTGGACGTAGTTTTGGCGGTGGCCGGTCTGGCGGTCATCGAACTCGTTATTAAATCGGACAACAATTTATATTATGCCCGAAGGCAAAAACGATTTTTGTTTGAGCAAACAAATTCAGACAACGCATTGAAGCGATCGAATATTTTTTAGTTACATACTAAGTACTTATCTTCATTTTTATCAAGTATAAAATGTAAAAGTTGTGAAATCTAATTAAGTTTTAAAGGGCTTAAATATGTAAAAGAAAGCAAATCAAACGAAAAACTACATTCAATATATGTAAAAGAGAAATGTATTGTAAGTGTATTTTAATTTTCGACTCCTGTGTATTTTTGCAGCAGTTCCTGTTTGCGCTTTCGTAGCAGCGCCTCCTGCACGTCCTGCTGCGTGGGCACCGGCACGTGGGCAGTGAAGCGCGGGGCGAGCAGTCCGTGTGGATCATTTTCGGCTGCGCGTGCTTTGGCATCTTCGGCTGCTTCACGTGCCGGGCCAGAGAGCGGATAGATTTCATCGTCGTCCTCTTCGTCGTCGATGATGCGGCCATCGCGTGCCATTTTCTCACGCCATTCCTGCACAGCCTTCTGCAGGGCAATCCGCTCAATCTTCTCTTCCAGCGGTATGAGCACGCCGTCCTCGTCGTCACGATAGCCATAGTATTCGGCATCGATGTCTTTCATCAGCTCGGCACGAGTTTTGCGCGGCGGTGGCGGCGGATCCTGTTCGAACAGCTCTCGCACTCCAGGCAAATCTTTGGCAGCTCCAAAGTATTTGTAGCCTCGATTGCCCGGCACCTCGCGGCCTTCGGCGTCAAACATTTTGGGGCCATACCGACGATAGTGTGGACCGCCCAGCGCTGATATCTGATTCTCCCAGTGCCGTTTCTCACGCAGCAGCTTGTTGATCTCATCGTTCAGATCGCGAATGCGGAATTCACCCAAACCAGCTGGAAAAAGTATTTGATTATATTTGATTATATTGCTTCACGTGTCACTGCAACACTTTACCATTTTGAATTTGTGCTACTTTTTTGGATATTTCACGTATAATCTCCAGACGAAACTTTTCACACTTTGGCAGCTCATGGCACTCCGAGGCCAGGTAAGGTCGGCGCTCCTTTTCACCTGATTCCACTTCCTTGGCGGCTCGCCAACGCGCCAAAGTTGTCCTGCCGGCAGAGAGAGATATATAAATAAAATACGATCATAGTGCAAATATGTATTATACTTACATAGCCTTCTCCGCATTTCTTGCCTGAAATTAATCAGTTTTAAATTATATATCCAATAATTTAACTAAGAAAACGTTTACTTACCATTTTTACAGATTGTTTATGTTTCTATTTGTGGTGGCTCGTAGATAACAGTTATGAATCGGTACTCATCACGATTCGATACATTATTAACATCGATTACTGTAAACTGTTATTGCTGTTAAATAACAGCTGGTTTTGTTTTTGGACTGCAGCCGTTCACAGCTGTTAAGTTACTCATCAGGCCATGCTCAGTTTTAGAGCTCAGCAGCTAAACTTTTACTCGACAGGAAATAATAAATTTGTTAATATTGATTTTGCGCATTAATTAAGCGCAATAGCTCGAAGTCATTCGAATAACAAGAATTAAAATATTTACCAAGTAATAAGCGAAATGAACTAGCAATATTGCTTATCGTTCATTTGTTCAGTAGTTCGATTACATTTGTTCCGATATAATATCACTGCTGTTTCGCATACGCCATTTATTTGCAAGAAAAAAAGAAAAAGCAATTAACAAAACAGAATAAAGATGTTGGCGCTTATCAACAGGATTCTGGACTGGTTCAAGAGCATCTTCTGGAAAGAGGAGATGGAGCTGACGCTTGTCGGCCTCCAATTCTCAGGCAAAACCACATTCGTCAATGTTATTGCAGTGAGTATTTTTTTCCCCGAAAAAAGCCTTTCTTTTGCTTTGATGAGTGTAAATGGGGCGGCGCCAGCTTTTAAGCGGTTGGTCAGGGGTCAAAAGAGCAGCGCGCCGCAGGCTATGGCAATGCAAGAGCCAGGGAAGGAATCCAATAACCAATAGACAGGAGCGAGAGGCGGCAAATGACAAATCGAGCGCTGTTGTTGTTTTGCTGTTTGCTATTGATTTCTCTTTGTTTCTAAAACAAAAAAAGAAACAGAAGAAGAAGAAGAAGGAAGGAAACGTCATGCAGTTATCAACTATATTTTTACGTTCTGTCGCTTCGCACTGTCACAGTTAACTTCATTTAGAACTTATTTTTATTGTGTCTCGCGCTAATCAATATGTGTTATTTGTGTATTTGCTCGAATGACGGCATTATCAGCGCTCTAGAGTCGTTTGCCTATCCCAGAAACCCACTTCATTGATAATTTCCACCTCGAGCTCCAAATCTGACTGCAAATATGAAAATATGCGGGTGCCTTTCCTATCGTTGTTATTGTTGTTGTCATTGCTGTGAGTCATGTACCTTAAACTAAATATAATTCTTAAGCTAACTGAAACTGAAACCACATGCCCCGAGCCATTCCAGAGACTGCGAGACTGCCTTGGGGTTGTTCAGGAACATTTGCCTTATATTGACATAAAGTAAAGTCTGGCTTGCCTGACTTCCAAACAGGAGTTGATTAATCAACCACAGTGAAACTTCTATAGAAGGACAACATAAATTTAATATTTATCTACTGCAATATTTTCGACAAACAACTAAAGAGATGAAAGTTAGGATTAAATGCGAAACCAATTCAAGAAATCTTTTAAAAGTAAAGAAGTCTTGTATAAGATCAGGTACTTAACATTTCAAGGAATTATTGACAAGTGAAGAATCTAAGAGTAACGAAATCTTATAGACATCATTAGACACTTATATAGATCATATTTTAAACAAAATTGGATCTGTTTTTTTTATGCATCTCTTCTAATAATATATATATTTCTTCCTCTTCAATCCTCAGTCCGGCCAGTTTGCTGAGGATATGATACCGACAGTTGGTTTCAATATGCGCAAAATAACCAAAGGCAATGTAACCATTAAGGTCTGGGATATCGGAGGCCAGCCACGTTTTCGCTCCATGTGGGAGCGCTACTGTCGTGGCGTCAATGCAATTGTGTAAGACTGATCCGCATTAGCTAGCCACATCATCCATATCTGACTCATTTGCTCATATTGCATTTCAGTTATATGGTCGATGCGGCTGATTTGGATAAATTGGAAGCGTCCCGCAATGAGCTGCATTCGCTGCTAGACAAACCGCAATTAAATGGCATTCCAGTGCTCGTCCTGGGCAACAAACGTGATCTTCCAGGCGCGCTTGATGAGACTGGGCTTATTGAGCGAATGTAATTTGACCTTATTTCTATATAATTATATAACTAAGCAAACTTTCGTTTATCTACAGGAATCTGTCCAGCATACAGGATCGTGAAATCTGTTGTTATAGTATTTCGTGTAAGGAAAAGGACAACATCGATATAACGCTGCAGTGGTTAATTCAGCATTCGAAAAGCCAAAGTCGTTAGATTATAGCTTAACATTTACACACAAAACAACTCACACACACACATACAACATAATATACACAAACAGACACACGCACACACACACACACACTCACACACGAAATTTAATGCACTCTCTCGCAAACACATTGAACAAGTAACTTAATTTGCAGTATATTAATTTGATGTAGACTGTTAATTGTTGTATGAGTATAATTCGAAGCTACGCTAAAGCTATGGCGATGGCTCGTTATGATTGTTGGCATGTGTGTTTGTATAAGGAATTTGTGTTTGGGCTGAGACGTCGTGTTGGGGGTGCTCCTCGTTAGGACCAAATATCTCGAATTGTAGTTCAAAAATGTGACAGGACTAATGAAAAATAGCCAACCGATTCTATATAAATGTGAATATATATAAACACAACACAAACAACTACACACACTGACACAGAGAGACACACATACACTTTTACATATTTCCTTTGTACACAGCGAGAAATCGCAAAGTATTTTGCATAATGTGCTTTCACCTCATACAGCCGTTGAATTTGGTGTCTCTAATAATTTGTTGCTTGTATCAGCAATAGTTAGGCCTATGTTTAGTGTTTTATTGGTGTGATTATATAAAACTATAACTTTTTTATTATCATTTTATATATATATAGGCATATATATATAGAAATATAAGAAATATAAATACAAATTATGATTTACCTAAATAGTTTATATTTTTGCTTAGCGAAAATTTAAAAAACAAAAAGACGTTTCAAACTAATTAAATATCTATGTATTTAAATGTGTGTCAAGTACATGCGTGCAACAAGAAAAATTAAGTAATAGAATGTTTGTATGCTTAAAGGCCATTGCTAAACAACAACAACAACAATGTATAACTATAAAACAATAATATTAAAAACAATAACAATTGATACCAGTGTAAGATAAATGAATATTACGATTTGTCTGTACCACAGATCTTTGTTTAAGCAAGCGCCGGCACGCTTACTGTATGACATCCCTTTACCACACCCACACATACACTCACACACACTCACAGTTGAATCATGCTTATGTACAATATTTTTATATATTTTAATAATCAATTTCAATTATAAACTACATTAATCTAACTGAAAAGGGAGACGCCCACAAGAAGCGAACAAAGCATAACTAATAAAGACTATTACAAAAACGGAAGCGTAGAACCGTAGAGGAAGAATTCTGTGAGAACTGGCGCAACTGAAACTATTTCGAGAATAAATATTGTATGGTGTTTTCAACTGATCCCTAAAGTATGCAATGCCAAATCCGTTTGCACGGGTACAAATTTTAGTATCCCAGACTACGCGTATGTGTGTGGTCCCTATATCTTAGACTTTAATGAAAAAATTTTACTAGGAGCACATTATCAGAAGGGTATGCTTAGTTTAATTCTGAAAACGTCTTCAGATTTAAGAAATTTTTGCCTTTTCTATCAAATTTTTTGTGGCTAAATTTCAAGCGCTTCAATTTTAGAATTTGTTTAAAATTACAATAAGGGATAGAATTTCAAAATCGTCCTTGAACTATTAATTGAGCAGCTGCTGAGACGGAGACAGCTCTTTCAGGCTTTTTAGACCGTAAAACTAAATCATCTGAAAATACTGCTGAATATAAAAGTTTTAATTGATTTTGCAGGCTTTCAAATAAATAATCAAGTAAAAAACCTCTAGTTTGAGGTCTGCTCGACTACAACTTCTGTAATCCTTTCAAACAACTGTTACTTTGATCATGCTAAGCTCCTTCAAAGATAATTTCAGGATCTGGAAACCCCATTTATAATTCTCTTTTCAGTCGCATCTGATGTACCTAAGTTCTTCAAGAGTTTTCTACCTAAAATGATAAAAATTTGAATTTTTGATATATAATATATAATATAATATGTAAAATAGTTTTTCTAGTAAGACATTCGAAAAAGTTTCTTTGATTTTCTAAACAGCTTCTTCTAATGAGGGTTTTCCTATAGTCTTATTCAAAAAACATTTTCTAAATATTTTCACTTATTTAATTTTCTAATCTATTTCTCTGAAATGATTTTATAAATATTTTTAAAATAGTTTCTCTACAAAGAATTGTCAACAAGTTTTTTTGATACAAATTTTGCAAGTACTAATAAAAATTTCTAATTAGATGGTCTAAGTAGTTTATATATTGAGATTTTCTTCAAAGGTTTTCTAATAGAGATTATCAGTAAAATTTCCTTAACAAGATCCTCTAAATAGTTTCCTTACCAAGATTTTCCATATGTACCTGCTCACATATACCTAATTCTATATACAAATAATATTATATATTTTCTATGCGCACAGGTGATGGGTCGGGTGTGATAAGACTATGATGCATAATGCTAATGTAGACCCATGAATCAATGACAAATGACAATATGCGGTCGCAACCCTGGGCAATGGCTCATCAGGCATGCTGAGCAGCGTACACTGAAAATAATTTATAGTCGCATTTGAGGCGCTGCACAAGACTGGTAGTCGGATAGTCTCGATGCATGCATGCTTCTGCTCTGGCCAGTGGCCACCCAGTTGTCGCTGAGAGCAAGTGGGCAATTGATCGATGCGATTGAATATGAACGCATAAATACTCTTCTAACCAGAGCCCTTAGCGCAAGCCAGACAGAGGACAAGACGGGGCTAATTACGAATTCTGTGTGCAAAGGCTGTGTTCCAGGAATACGTGTCAAGTGCTGGCTCCAGCTCCGACTCCGACTGCAAGTGCGACGGCGACTCTGGGTTGTGCAGTTTCAACTGCGACACGAGCCGAGTCGAGTGACTCATATGAAAATATTCTCATGCCTGCGGGCTGCTTGGGCTGCTTCCTGCTTCCTTTTGGGATCGCAGCGTGCAGCCAGCAAGTTTGCTGCCTAAGTCTTTTGTTTGGTCATCAAATTGAGTTAATTACACTTTTAAATGCTGGAAATTAACATTGCGCCGATAACGATCTCTCAGCACTCGCAGCACTCGCAGCGCTGCCTGCTCGCCACAAGCCACATAACATAACTTGGCCATAACTTGAGCAAATCACAACAACGACAACTACAACGACAGCGACGTGTCCGCTGTCCATGTCCGCTGTCCGCGCAGCCAGCTTCGCTTGTGCTCGTGCTTCGAGCTTGCGACAAGCTCATAAATTTTCATAAACATAACAAAAACAGCTCGCTAATGTTTTACGCTAAGAAACTAACAGAAAACTAAGTTTCAATTATGTTTTCGTGCCATAAAAAATAGAAGTAAATAAATGCAAAAAAAAAAAAAAAAGAAACTAAACTAAAATCAGAAATTCCTAATGTTATTATAATCTATACTCTAGCAAGGGGCACTAGAGTTTTCTCTTCTAAGATGCAACATGGAAGGGGATATATTTTTTATATGGATATATTTTTATATGATATATTATTATTAGTGATTTAATTTTGAGCTTAATTTCTTTTTACATTTTTTAACACACCTGAGTTAGATGTTTTTCTTAGGGAGTATTCTATATAAAAGTAGAATCGTCTTTGTAAATTTTTAATTGGTATATTGTCTATAAAGTCTCAATTCTATATACAGAAGAATCCGGCTAATGCGACTCCATTTATCGCGTTCGTACCCAGATGGTATATGAGCAAACTTATACGCTTTTAGCGTCTTCCAGGTATAACGACGGTAGGTTAAGCATCGCTATAATCGGATCTAATTAGTCTATAGCTAAATTTCGCAAAGTGTTCATCTAAATGATTTCTAAATAACATACATGTATATATATGTACATCTGTTATACAGTTCTATATAGAGATCAATCATTAATTTTTACGAACTATTAAGCTGCATGAACTATGTTTGCTTTATAAACCTTTATAGTCTTTGAATGTACCTCAATCAACTGTGTCATCTAAGAGACTCAATTCCCAATGTCTATACTCTAGATCCCTATTTTGTGCTATCACCAATCTGGAAGAGACAGTCATTTATATAGAACATAATCAGTCGAAAACTACATGATTCATTCAAAAACATGTTTGTTCTTGAAGAACTCAAATAGATGGATAGATGATTGGCATCATCATTTGTCATCTGAGAGACTTAATAGGTTTTCAGCTTTTGATTCAAACTATAGAGTTCCATCGGAAAGCTTTGCCATTTTCATAGAGTTAATCTCCATTACAGCTCATCATGCAATCATATTATATACATGGATCGTCCTAAGCCTACGAGAGTATAAATGCTTCTGCATGCCGCAAATAACTCTTCCTGCCTGATGTTGCTTCAGCAATTTGTGCGACTTGTGCTGATTATATAATGGCATTAAAACATGCCCAAAAATGTAAAGAGAAAAATAAATATATATGCATATATATTTATACATATACATATACATATATATGTATGTTTTTGATGTTGGCAAATAAACATTTAAATATTTTTGCAGGCCAGCCAGATAAGCGCAACGGGAACGCGATCATTTGTATGCGCCGCAGAAGGCGAGGGCCAGGCTCGGAGTGAACCTCCGTCCGTTCGTCTGTCAGTCGGCCGCGTGACTCCTTTGATATAAAGCCGTCAGAGCCAAATGTTGTTGGGCGGGGTGTTGACCATAAATATGCCGCGGCACAAGCACTATATTAATGCATTATATATTAATTAGCCAATGTCAAAGCAATGCTTAAGCATATCAGTGCCCATATCGAGGCGACATAGTGCTTAAATATATTTTAATTGCTAACGCAGTGGGCAGCCCCCAAAAAAAAAAAAAAAAAAAAAAAACAACAAAAAAAATACAAACAAAAATAAATGAGAAGAGGAAACAGAGGAGAGCTGCAGAAGCGCTGTGGGGTCCACCAAAAGTGTGTCTGGCCAGGAGGCTATGCCACCTGAAAAGTTCCTGGAATTGCAGCCACTAAAACAAACGAAATGCTGGCTAAAACAATAAGCCCAAACAAGAGGCAGCAGCAGCAGGCATAAAGTTCAAGCCTTAACAAGATGAACAAAAGGCAGAGCCTGGCTAAGACTCGAGCTGAGGCTGGAGCTGGGACTGTGCCGGCGCGTACTTGGCAGACTCGTGGGCAACAATTTTCATGTTTTTTGGGCTGTCAGTAGCAAATATCGCCAACAACAACAACAACAGGATACGCTGACAACAACTTGGCCTGACAACCAGCCAAATGCAAATAAGTTTGTCTCGCTGTCTTTTCAGCCGAATTGGCCAAGTTGGCTAAGTTGGCCCGCCTAAGCTTGATTTCCACCTACACTCCCTCTCCCTCGCTCTCTCTCTCTCTCTCCCTCCCCCTCTCTCTCTTGCTCTCTTGCTCTCTTGCTCTCTGTTGATTTATTGTGCCTTATCGAGCGCGCCATTTGCCTTAGCACTAGGCCATAGGTGAACCATAATTCACGCAGCAATTGCTCGCCTCGCCGCATCTCTATAGCTCTGGCTGAGCTAATAAAGTGCTCAGGTGTGACTCGGGCGACTCGGCGACTGCATCTGCTGCCACTTTAATTGATGACAACATCTTGGAATTTTTGTTGGTATTTTTTCGCGAGCTGAAGTTTGTCTTGTCGCCTTATTTCACACTCGCATTCCCAGCAGCCCTTCGATGCCCAATAAGATCCGACTGTCTCTATCTATCTCTCTCTCTCGCTCTCCCGCTCTCTCTCTCTCTGTGTGTGTGTTGAAATCTGTTAAATAATGAAACATTTGCACGATACTGGAATCGTATCTGGAGCTCTTCTCGGCCACAAAACAATCCACAGCCGAGCCATAGCCCAGTCGCAGTTGGTGCAACATATCGTACAAGATTTCCGGGAATTGAAAACTGCTAAAAATCGTGTTTGATTTTATACGTTCGCTGTTCGCTGTTCGCTGTGCTCTTGACTGTGGAGGACGAGGACTGGCTTCAGCTGCTGCATGCAACAACAGCAACTGTTGCTGGTAGCAACTGCGACTTCGAGTCTGACTCTGACTGTAGATACCTGTAGCATCTACGATATGCGTCGTGGTTCAACATGCAATCGCAACAACAACAGCAGCAACAACAACAAATGAAAGCAGCTTGTTAACTAATTAAAACCGAAAATATATGCAAATCAAAGCTGGCCTGATGCGAGACAAGCCAAGCCAAGAGCGAAGTCTCTTTGGCTACTGTTTGCGCCCAGCGGCTGCTGCCATAATGCGAACGACAACTAAATAGCCAACAAAGCGCATTGTGCAACAATTAATTGCAACATTTTCGGTGGTCTTCACCCACCGTGCCGTGCATTGACGAGCCACCAAAAAATCTGTACTCAATATGCAATCAATTCAAATGGATGCGCCTTGGCTGCGCGATTTACGACAATGGCCCCTTCAGCTACTGCCCTTTTTTTCAGTTTTTTCTGTTTTGGCCCCTTTTTTTCTTAGCCCTTTTATTGGGTTCAGTGTGGAGGGCTGCGGCTGCTGCTAACTGATGCGGGCGATCGGCCAAGGTGCGGGACATATGTAAAACAAGCGGCCGAACAACCGCAGAGCCAGACGAGGCCAACTCTGAGCCAAACTGACAGCCTGCTGCTGCTGCTCCTCTTGCTCCTCCTGCTGCTGCTGCTGCTGCTGCTGCTGCTCCTGCTCCTCCTCCTCATCCTCACAGAAAGGATTTCGGAAGTGAAATTTATTTTGCATATCGCCGCGCTTGACAATGCATTCGAGCTGGCATTGTCTTGGCGAGCGAAGGCAAGTGCTCCGTCTCCGGCTCCGGCTCCAGCTCCGGCTCCTGGGAAACGTTTTGCGCAACGCATTTATCAAGCTGCAGTCAATTTGGATAAGGGAGCCAACGTATTGTCGATTGTCAATGGGAAATTATCCAATTTTGTGGCTTCGCATTCAATTGCGCCTGTCAATTTACAAGGCAGATTCCACGACCCGCCGACGAGTAGCTGTCAGTGTGATGAACGGCCCAGCTGTGTGGTCTGGCCAATGGGGTGGGCGGCTATCGAAATGGGCATGGCCAGTGGACAATATGTGTGTGTGTGTGTGTCTGTGTGCCATAAAATCATAATCGTTGCAGCGGATCAGTTGCCTTACCGTAGTTAAGCGCTGCCTTAGCCCAAAATATATTTCACCCTTACTCCTTGCCACACTTGGCTCGCCAATTGCTTCCGGAGATGCGTGCCAAGT